CACACTTAGATTTTCAAGTATTGGTTTTGTATGGATTTTGTTTGATTGTCTGGAGGATTTCACTATGAGCTGACATCATTTGGTAAGTTTTTGGTAATATTTCGAGCAAAATTACCAAAAACACGAACTTACCATTGTGTGCAAACTATTTAAATATATTTACAATTTATTTGATTTATTCCGCAATGCTAAGACTTTTTTACTGACATTAACACTTAGATTTATTTTCAATATGCTCAGAAAACTGAGATTTTACAGCGTCTTCACCTAGAATGAAGATTTCATCTGAATACTATAGACCAGTGAGACTTTTCCATGGTAACAAGTTAGTCCCTTAGACACTGAAGTCTGACAAACTAACTCCATCAGCAAATCTGAAATGAAATTTTTGAAAATGATGCCACTGGGCACCCATGACAAATACTGACTTTCTTCACATAACATGATAATTCTCCTTACCATCTGGACGGTTTTACGAGTTCAAGTAGGACCTTGATGAGTCTACTATCCTTTTTCAGGACTCATTTCACAGCTAAACATTGTAATAGATTCTCTTGATCATAACTACAAACTAGGTCCTTAGTACCGAACCAGGTTTTCTTTTATCTCGGACACATAGAGGATCCTGTTTGTTACAAAGATAATGAATATTAGGTAAAAGGACATTATTTTAAATCTGCGTTTAGCTACCATATTGTTATTAAAAGAGGCCAGATTAAATCCTAACATACCAACTTTCTAATGAAGTTAATTATTTGTAAGAAACGCTGAGCTGGGGACTTCTGACAGTTCTATTTGACTGATAACAACTGTTTCCGTAAGAATGCTTCCACCTATGTGATTCTGATGAATAATCAGCCCATAGAATAAAAAGAAGTGTTGGGTTACCATCCGTTGGTGCATTATGACCTTCTGGGAGATAAGTTGACCTAGTGACTACAGATTTTCTCTGACATAGCTCAGTATATATAAATGAAAATTATACTACAGCTTTCTTGTTTCTTCTGCTTCCAAATGCGATACAAAGTCAGTATGTTTACCTTCAATTAATGTTTCAACTCTCTCTATTTTTCTTCTCTTCAGGTATTAATCTTTTCTGATTGGTAGACGATAGGTTTCACAAGTACATAGGTACACTTTAGTCATCAGAAATTGAAACCACAACCTAATAGTTGAACGCTGAATGCCTAACTCAACGAACCACAACACTATAAGCAATATCAGAAGTGAATCAGAGGGATTTACGATATTCTGCCTATCAATATGCAAGTGGAAGTCTCATCCGTTAAGTCAATGGTATTTACCAGACTAACTAAATGTGCAATCGTTTCGAATACATGTAATAGTTCGATTATGAGCGTGAATACGGATACAGGTCTCAGATAAACTTGCTAATGTTTTCCACTCTGATAATATAAAATATGTATCATTTTTATGGACATTGACTGTTAACCGATTAAGTTTGTATTTCATCACACTGTGAGAAACTAGTAACCCGGTATATTGTTATGCTAAATGTGTAGTAAGTTTACTCGCATTTATGCTTCATCAAGGTTATGTTCATTATAATAGCTAGAATATGGTGCATGTATCCTTATTTGAAGAATACCTTGTCTGAAAGAAAAACAACATGATGGGTATGCCCTACGTGCTTAGAAGTACTCTTGATTCAGAATGTGGATAACAAAAATAACGATGATGTCTGCAGACACATAATGAAAACTGGCAAACTTTGTACGACGGCAGTTTCTTTTATTGTTACATTTAACATTTAAACTACTAAAGTTCAATCCATGCATGTAAGAATTAACGTTTTCTAAGATTCTTTGAAGACTAAACCAGATAAATAAATAGCCAAAGTCAGGAGTGCTTAAAAAAAACGACCGACACATTACAGAATCGCATAGTGAATCAACAGAATCTTTAGTCCCAAAATCGAGAACCGAAGCCCGTTCCTTCGATTGTGTCAGTAGTTTGAGTATAGTATGCCGGACCAAATTTATCAATTTCATTTACATGTACATGTACAAATTTCCATAAAACTCTGTCGAAATCCTTGACAAATGAGAAACCGTATGACGTATTCCCAGAAAATCTTGAGTTAATCTGTAATCTGGTGAGTCTTAAGTTAAATCGCATTGAAATGGAAGCGCTTTTCCTTGGATTTAACCTCCATTTTCTGAATAACTTCGTCAAAAGAACTGATGTCGCAGCTCAATTTGAAAACATATTCTATCAGCTGAATGACTTTATTCCAGTTGATGAGGACAAGAACAGCTGATTCAAAGCAAAGCTAGTCGATGTTGCAAATCAACACCTCATTTCACCAACGTCATATTCCAAAATCCTTTCTGAGGAGCATCGAATAGCAATAAAAGCCCTCAAAAATAATGAAAAAATCGTCATACTGTCACCTGACAAAGGCTCGGGTGTGATGCTGATGAACAAAGATGGCTACATTGTCAAGATGAAAACTGTGTTAAATGATTTGTTGAGGTTTAAAATTGACAGTTACCAGAAAGATAAGAAATGCCACTGAAAAACGCTTCACAAACGTATTTAGAGATCTCCTAAAAAGGAATTGATTTGCAACAATGCGTACAATAATTTAAAACCCCGAGCGTCTAGTGTGCGGTACATGTATGGTTTTTTAAAAACACAAAAACAAGTCCTCCCTGAAATCTATACTTTCGATGATCAACTCGCTTTAGCATAAGGTTTCTCGTCGGCTTGCAGAGAAGTTGGAACCCATCCGTCGATAACGGCCAGCTTTCTACACCATGAAACACTCATTTCATTTTGCCGAAAGCGTGAACCACATGAACGTTCCAAATAAGTTCATGGCGTCATTTGATGTAACTTTTTTGTTTACAAGGATCTCAATCAGTGAAACTATCGAGATCATTTGTCAGAATTCTTATCTTCTCCCACTACCAGTATCGGAATTCAAACGCCTACAGCTAACGTGTACCATGGATGCACAATTTCAGTTTGACACCACTCTTTGCCGCCAAATCGGTGGTGTAGCTATGGGTAGTCCAATTAGCTCTATTTTAACAGATACCTTGATGTCCAACCTTGAGAAAACAAAGTTGAAGCATGCAATCAACGAGAAAACTTCTTATTGTCGATATGTCGATGATACATTCGTAGTGTACAGCAATGAAAGTCATGATTCCTACCCATTCGGATTATTCAGAGACGCACATGCAAATTTTGAATTTACCATGGAAGATGAAAGTGATGGAAAGTTCTGTTTCATTGACATTGCCATGTAACGCCTGGAAGATGGTAGTCTCAAGAGATCAATTCACCGAAAGCCTACGTATAATGGATAATATCTTAACAGCTTTTGTCCAAATAGCCATGAAAGAGCACTAGTCAAGACTATGTACTATACAGCTAGGAGAATATGCCCTATAGAGATATTAGAGGAAGAATTTATGATTCTCGAAAAGATGTTGAGAAACAATGGTTACCCTAAGAGATTCACTAACAAATATGGAATATGTGAAGACTCAAATGTCAAACAAATCACAGTGGGGAAAAAGCCTGTTTTCATTTATCTCAATTTTAAAGGTGAAAATATTTCAGCAATAGTCAACAGAAGATTGAGTACGTCACAAGCCAGAGCCGATGCTGCAGCTAAACTGGTTCGCGTCTATCGGACAATATGGTCTTTAGTGCTGCAATCAGAAGTCGACAGATACCCTAATCTGCGGGAGCAGCTACATTGGGAGAACAGAAAGAAGAAGGGCATACCTCCAATTTTCTGAACATGCACCTACGTCACAAAGGAACAAACGCTTACAGTAGTGAAATTACTAGTCATCTCCTTGATATGGGTCATGAGGTGGAAATCGAGAAATCCTTTAAAACAAAAGAGCTTTGTTCTTCTCAAGTTTGCCGAAGTAATCTTTATCGAACGCCTGAAACCGGATTTATGTGTTCAGAAAGAAGCAGTTATCAGTTTTTCCTCGCCCTGGTAACTGGATGTCTTTACTCTCTCTTTCATTTGACTGCGTAGTCTTTAGCTTTAACCTCACCCCCGTTTGATACAGTGTAATATTGCTTGTCTCTTGTTTCTACGACTTGAGTTGAATTCAGTACACTGTTACCCAATTTATTAGTTACTCATCATCTTACACACCCCTCTCGTCTTTATTGCGTAACTCCTTTACCTTTTTATGCACACAATGATCTTGTTTAAACTGGAACTCCCCCTATGTAAAAACTATATGAGTGTAATTTTCTCAGCGCTTTTCATTACGTTTAGAACCTCCTGTCAACTGACTTCATTTAAAATTTGCAAGTATGTTAAAACCTTTGTGTACATAAACTTAATAATTTATTTAGGCTGTGAGCAACTGATGAGAAGTCGACGAAACAAAAGTGATGATACCATCTTGTTCTGCACAAACTGTTGTTCTTGCTTTATTCAAATTCAAAAGGATGAATAAATGTATGAAATACGATTAATGTCTGTTTGACGAGGTGCCTGAACTTTGATTGTTGTGATAATACAACACTACTACTGCTGCTACAATCCTTCTGTTATTGTATGATCTTGTGTAACAATTTCAATTCAGTTACAAAACAGTACACATCCCTACACACATTTCATTCATAACTCAAACATAACGCGGATTTGAGGCAACGCCCAACAATGAGCACATCTTGTAGTTTGGATAAGATTAGAAACAATGACTAGAGTGAAGTTAGTCACAATCGAACAAATGGAAATAGTTCAAAATAAAATCCAAGTCCTAATAAAACTTAGGCCTAATAATCGAATTACATGACAGTATTAGAGGTATTAATTAAGCAGCATGCCGTTAATATGAATCTACTGAAAAGCCAAATCTCCCTTTAAACGCACTGTCATTACTCTAATCACTGAAATGAGAGAGAAAATTTCCAGGAGATTACAATTTCATGTATTTTCTGTAAAATAAATCAGTATGTACACAATAAACATAACAAAAGAAGTTTGAAAGAAATCAATCCTTTAATAAATCACAAATACGATACAGTGTTCTAATACAATCCCTAAAACAATAAGAAAAAAATACAAGTATGATAAGACACAATTAAAATATTATAACAGGTATAGACACGGAAAAATTATAGGCATAACATCTACATCAAACAAAGGCTGAACTGCTAACTTCTTTTTTTATACATAAATTTATTCTCAATACTGCTATGTATATTTGACATCATGAATATCATTTCAGGTATTCATAGGCACAAACGAATTATTTCTCGTCTTTAGGGTGAATCAATCTGTCTGTCTGTCTGGATTCAACATAGAACTTGGCACCGAAGTGCACCAGTTCCAGTTGCCATGTTCCAAATAGCACCAAAGGTAAACAAGAAGATGAGTGAAGATAATCAATAGAGTTTGACAGGTATAAGAGTGAAAAAGAATGGGTAATGGTATAAAGAAATATGAAAGATTACAGAGACTGAATACATCTGCGCTGGCCATTGACAACGACTCTGAGCCATGTCACCTATTGTCTCCAGCCATTGATTCCTAGAGTCCCGAGGACCCCAACCCGGAAGTCTGCATCTCCCTACCTGACTCAGTTTAACTGTCAAGGATTTCATGGATTGATGAGGCCATGTTTTTGTTTGGCCACCACTTACTCTTTTCCAACCTGCAGCTATATCAGCTAGTGATGCCCGTCAGGGGAGGCGATGGTTAGGCATGCGCAGCATGTGACCTAGCCAACTCAATCTGTGTAACTTTATAGCCTCGTCGATTGATTTTCCCTGTTTGCCCGACACTCTACGCCTAACGTCAACATTACTTACCTTATTAAACCACCTAACGTGAAAAAGAGATCGCAAACATCTATGATCGAAAGCAGTCAACATTTTCATGTCTCCAAGTAGTATTGGCCATGTTTCAGAGCCGTAGAGAAGGACGGAGCGAACTGCTGAGCAGTACACACGTCCCTTGGTTGATAGCCGGATGTCACGTCTACGCCAGAGATGGTGTAAGTCAGCGAAAGCAGCTCGAGCTTTTTGGATCCGTGCTGAGATTTCGTTGTCAATCAGTCCATTGGTGCTGATACAACTTCCCAAATAGGTGAAGTGGTCAACATGTTCTACCACTAGGCTAGGAGTTGACGTAGTCCAGTCCTGTAGGAGCATCTTACATTTGACAGCAGGGGCGAACCGCATGCCAAACATACGAAGATTGCTGCTCAAGGTGTTCAGAAGACTCTGCTGTATTTTGTCAGCATCCTCCCCTAACAGGACTATGTCATCTGCATATTCAAAGTCCATAATTCTATTCCTGTTAACAAGTTGAGAGTGAATCATTCCGCATAATCAACTCAATGGATAATACTTGGAATTTAGAAAACGAAATTATTTTGTCTAGTAGGCCACACAGGATCAAATTAATGAAGGTTTATATGCCCCTTTGCAGTCAGTCTTTTATTCACCAAAAGCACTGTGTTGAGGCTTGACAGAGAGTTTAGTGTTTATGATACTATTATTACCTAAGAATATTGTGATCTATTTTCATATTAGAAGACTGTAGATGTTTTAAGTGTCGTTTGTCAAACCAATAACATCATTTGATCAACAATATTTCCGAACATAGTATTGCTTCAACAAAAGTACATTCATCTCTTTCTGCCCATGTTTTTAGAACTTTATGCATGATTTCAAAGCAGTCAGTAATTTGTTCATCATGATTTATGTCTGACTAAATGTTCAGTCAGTGATGTCTCGTATCTAGTTAGTAAAATTTCAGAGTTAGGCAAATAGCAAACTAATTAACAATAAGAATCTCAATCAACTTACCGTTCATCTGCTTGAACATCTAATTGACCAGAAATATCTGCATACATTCGACCGGGTGGAATACACTCCAATAATTGTGACAAAATTCTCTTAATCTGACCAAGTGGATTTGGAGTTGACGTGGTTCCCTCCGATGACTGATTTTCCTGTTTAATTTTAACAGACAACTTCAGCCACTCACGGGGTAACAATTCAACAATATTCTGTAATTTTTGTACAGCATCACAGAAAGCTAATGAACCCGGTTGATCACTACCTGTGAATGGTGTACTAGTCACGCTAGTCTTTTCTTCATTTGACGTAGAGGTAGCTACAGAGAGTAAGCAGGCAAGTCCAACTAACAGGTAACGATTAACCAGACAAGTAAGGCTAATGTGTTTCATTGTTTCCACACTTAGCAGATTTGACCAAAGTAGAATATTTTTCAAAAGCTAGTTAATAGAGAAATATAAATGAAGATAAATAAGCATCATGGATATGCATAATTGACTGGGTAAAGCATTTGATAACTGTAAGTCGTAGACTTCGCTTCAAACCAATGTGGTGAAAATACTTCTAGCAACAATCGAATAATACAACTATTTATCAGAATGTAATACGCTCCTTCTTTTTGTTTTCAATAATAAATGTAAAATGGGAGTGAGAGTCTTGGGATGAACAATAAATGCAGTAAGCAACTATTTTGTCCTGTTTGGAACTGCGAATTATTCACTCATCACTTAGATTTACGATTGTACGGAATGCATGGTCAATCCGATTCCCAATAACTACTGAACGGGTGAATTCTAGTCATCTTCTCATTCCTGAATAACTATGAGATAGATTTTCCAGAGTTCTAGTAACATCTACCAATTCAGTAAGGTATAGAAGTGGATCGATGACATTGGACAAGAGTGTAGAGCTACACTGTACATCGGAAGAAGTTGAAAACCATGATTATTAGATTCCAAACAAGTGACCGAATTAACATAGTGGCCTATTACCCTGATAAGTATTTTTCTTCAAGTCAAAGTCGACGATGGATAGTTAAGATGAGTCTTACACCGCAAATAGTCAACCAATTAAATTTGGTTTTCAGTGGTCATACCAGTGGATGCTGTAAAAAGGACAAAATCAATTGAATCTACATAGGCAAAACAACAGTGTAAAGAGAAAAACAAACCTGTTATTACAGGATTTCATCAGGAGCTGACATTCGTTAGGGAACCATTGGAAAACCTGAGAGTACTGGACAGCTGTTTCGTCCTAGTTTGTGACACCCACCGGGGTTCGAACCCAGGGCCTTCTGGTTACAAGGCAAGCTCGTAGGCCATTAAGTATTTAGTACGAGAACTCTGTGATGTGAGTTCGATAATCATTAAACAATACTACAAAGTAGATTTATTGGCTACAAAATCCTCGAATTCGAAAAGGTTAATGCTAAGTTTTGGGACTTATTTAGCTAAGAAACCCACCTCTTACATAATTATTTCTTAGTTTCTAAGACAATAGATGACTGATTTTTGTAGTGTGAACAAGCCAACTTCCATAAATGTGATAAGAGGGAAACAATCAAGTCTTATACCGTTCTGGACACATTGCCTTAACAGCGATAAATGGGATACACTGACAAAATTCGAAAATACTGATTTATTTGCTAAATATGTTTCCGGATTTTTCTTTACATCATGAATAAATTAAAACTTTGAGTGTTGGCAAGTAAATATCTGTAGCCTCTGAACAGGAGACACAAACCGAGAAAATGTTCCAGTAAATAGATAGATAGATAAATGTAATAATTCTATCCAAAATAAATTAAAATAGATAAAAGAATTACCTTTAGTCCCATGTTAAATTGACGTTCAAAAAAGAGGAAAGCAGTACCTTGACGTTGTTGCATCAAACTGTTACAGTAATGTTTTTTAAAAAAAAATGTTACGCAGTATGATGAGTTTCGGAAGTTATTATTTAAATTCTTATAACATTACACTTAGCAAAATAGTTACAAATGTGGATGGATGTCTGCGGCTCAGATAACTGATGTTTTATCAGCGTTGCCAATTGTAGATTTTCGGTTGTTTTGATGACAGAACCATAGTATTCTGTAAAGACATCAACTTCAGAAGTGCTTCACAATTTAGAACCTATTCATGGCGCTACTGACTTCAGTATGATGCACAAACTGATGCTCCATTGACAAAAGCCAAAGCTCTTAGATCTACAGAACTAAAAGAACTGTTTATTGAACACAAACAAAATGATCAAAAATGTTCACATCATTAGCTAATTGGCTTGTTATGTTTAAAGTTTCAGCTACACATGACTGAAATATCAGAAACACACATAGGACACTGAATTCAACCGTCGGAGGCAATTTTAAAGACATCTTGGTAAGTATATATTTAAAAAATGATAGTAGTAGCGATGACAGCATTTAACTTAGGAGCAGTCCTCAAGTTGATAAATCATATGTCATTGTATGCATATATACATATTTACGACTACCAGAAGTACTACTCAAACCAAACAAGCCTTTGTAATTCAGGCAAGATTGTTACATGATCTGAAATATTGAACTACAGAGCCACAGAGCCTAGTCTAAGCACAAATAAATACGAAAATAGAGATTAAAGAAAACAGCGAAAAAACACCGGGTAAGAGGACATCTGAATGGTTGTGCCGCTGGATGTTAGTGAGAGTGTGTCATTCATATATATATATATATATATATAATATAAAAAATATATATATATATATATATATATATATATATATATATATATGCGGGGAACACTAAAGTGGGGAAAAGTGATTGTTAATGTAAATTAACAGAAGCAACCATCACTCCATAACTTGCTGTCTCACATCACTGTGTCACAATGATAGTTCACATTCATTACATAGTACAGTGAATAATACTATCTGCTTATCTTCAGACGAGATGATAAAACCAAATGTATACTAAAGGAGTCGAATTTCTGGACTATTTATTCACAATCTATCCGTGAACACATTTATTGAAGTGTAAGAAATTCTGTCAAACTAGACAATTTGACCTTCATACGACATATATCCTGGCATCAGGAAACGATTTCATGAGTTAGCACCACGCGTTCATACGACAGCAAATAGGCTTATTTCATTCTGTAACCGAATCTGCTAACACTAAGTGTTGGCTTAAACGATAGCCGACTGACTGACGAAACAAAAAATAGAAATTTCGCCACAGAAGAACATCAGTTCAAGTTACCACGCTGTAAAAGGTATAGATAAATTGGAGGGAAGAAATGTAATGACCTGGCTACCATAGACTTTTTACAACTACGGTTTTGTCTACTGAATCTCTTTTTTGCCAAAAACTCTGTCCAATTTGAATACTCCTCACACTCCATGGTATAAAATAAGTGAAAGTCTTGTAACCTCTAAATGTGATTCACAATGAGACATGAAATTCTAGTGATTTTTTGACGCGATTTCTAGAGGAAACAATGAGATTCACAATAGAAATTATCTGTGAAGAAATTTATCAACATTTTTAAAAGAATAGTTCGGCTTTAGAAATAAATAAATAAAAGTAAGGGTCGTACTGCTTATTAGACGGAGAATACAAAGCTAGACTGGACAATATCAAGGTTAGAACAAAGTGCATACACGAAAACAGAATTAACAAAGTGAAAATATCAAGATGGTCAACCAACAAGTATTTAAAAGCAAAACTTTGAAGAGATCTAAAGGGTGAAACGATAGGCACCAATACTATGGCTGCTTCATTTAGTCAGGATGATGAGCTCCTTATGCGTTATTGATATAAGAATAAAACTTGTGCACTGTGGTGGAGTATAATTCCACTATGGATAAAACTTTATTTTGATAAAGTCTCGCAGTGTTATACAGTAATATTTACTGAAGTTCCGAGCTTATTTCTTATTGTTCATAATCATATCGAGGTGATGTGAGTAATAAATTGTGCTCGAAACATCATCAGAAAGTATTACAGTATAACGCTGTGTGACTTTATCAAAATAAAATTTTATCCATAATGGGATGATCAGCTCCTACTTTCCATATATAGTTGAAGAAAAAAATCTGAAATATTTAATAAATGATTCTGTTTTCGGTTTGACCACCGAAAAGCTTCTACAACGCAGCTTTTACTTTCGGATGCATTAACCTAAAGAAAAAAAGAAGAAAGATATCCAAGTCACCTAATTCGGGATAGGTTGAACTGGCTTGTCGATATATAACTTTAAGCTGAAACTCAATATTTCATGGAATGTGTACGGTAAAATTAAAAGAATCTATAATATTTAAGCACCTAGTATAATTGCATTTCCTGTTATTAACACATAATTATTACAATATTAGGTACACAGGACATTAATCTGGCCGAAGAACTCTTTAGCCAAGAGCTGAAAGGAGTGATCACTTCATTCATCACACTAGAAGTAGTTATAAGTGACAGTTATACCCACTGATTGAAATAAAACACAAATGATGACAAGATCACCTACCTTTTGGGATAGAGTGGTATAAAAATATCTTCTTGTATTGTGTTTTCGATACGCTTAACAATGGATGTGAATAACTTCTCTGTCGGTCGACTACCGATACGCACAGTTGGATAAGTTGAACTAAGGTCTTGCATTAAATTAACAAGACGGGATGATTGCTTTTCAGATAATGGATCCCACGAAGCATTAATCAATTCTACGTAGAAAAAATACACGAAAAAAATGAAGGAAAATCAATGATGTATGATTAATTCGAAATGCACTGACAACAATGAAAGGGTTTATTTCAATACTGCAAAATTTAAAAATTGCGTAGTAATAGTTTCGTGCTAAGTGACCAATCACAAGATCAAATGAGTCTTCAGAGTGAGTCGTGTATTGAATAGGGACGAAACAACTACCTAGTGTTTCTAAGATCCATCAGTTTTCTGGTTAACTTCAACTAATGCCTGAAACCTATTCAAACTAGCCAGATGCTCAGAAATCGCCTAACTAAAAACCTACTTTACGCTTTACAACATTTCCAGTAGGCTTCAGTTATACGACTTAGGTTATTTAACTGCATAACAGGAAAAACACTGATGTCAGTTACAGTAGAAAATAAGCCATTAATATCCTCTTACATTTACTGACTTCCGCTATCTCCAAAGCAATCGCTTGTCAACGTGTGTAAGTTTTCTACAACTGAACATCGCAATAGCTTATCAGTAGCTGTTATCTTTCTTACCGTTAAATATAACAAATCGTAAAATACAGGGCAATTTGACCACTTAAAGACCGAACATAATAAAAACTGTATTCAAGTCAGTGACGAGATCAACATTGAAGAGATTTCTGAAAAGACACACTGTTATTGATACCTAGTGTATAGTACGCAATAGACATGGAACAACTCTCACTGAACATCCATAAAAATAATAATAATAATAAATAATAATTTACCGTTCAATAGTTGTAAAACTACTTTTTCCACCGATTTCGGTATAACTCGAAGATCATCATCAAAATTGGCAGATTTCTCCTCGTTACTACTATTCTTAGTACCATCACAACCATCATTGCTAGTTGTTGGCTTCAGATCATTACTGTCACCTTCTGGAAGACTACAAAAATCTAATAAATCTTGAAACCACTTCATATCCTCAATAGCATTAGAATCATTCTAAAATGAATAGTATACAAAAAAGAGGAAAAATGCTCAATCAGATCATAAATTGCTGAAAGTAAATCACTTTAATTATAATACATATACACTACAGAAAGATTATGAGTAGAGTTGCCCTTCGAGGATGTAAACACCAACGAAGATGTCAGTAATTTAGGCGTCCAATCATTACAAGGAATTAAGACTTTACACTTTGACCGATTAAATTCACAATTTCAGAGGTAGGAGAATTTTTAGGATAAGTGGCATACGAAATTCAACATATTAGAGATTAACATATATTGCATTTTGTTTAACCATCGTGTAAACAAGATCAGATGATAAACTCAGTAATGAAAACCTCTAAATTTAAAACCAGACTAATCTGTAAATGTGTATATCAAGTTCAGATGTGATTATTTGAGAAGATTTAGAGGCATTAGATAAACGATAAACATAACTTTGAGATTTCGTATTCTCAGCACCCCCCCCCCTCCTAATGAATGACAAACAAAACAAAAATAGAATTAATTGACTTTTCTCTGGTTAATAATAATAACTTTATCACAGTTTATCATTACACTGGTAAAGCTATTAAAGTATTACAATGGCGAAAAGTCAGTAAAACCCAATCTTGTTTTGTTTTTCATCCATCAAACTAATCCGACTAATCTGGTCAGTTGACTTCGGTGGATTACAGATACTTTAAATCGATTTAATAATTTTCAAGCTCCGGTTTGACATAAGAAAATATTTCCATTTAACTGTAGGGTAAGGAAAGAGAAGGTCATAGCAACTACAACTATCCTTTCAAACTTCTAATTCTCTGGTTCCACATTGAAAATCGACGAACCTTAGAAAAAAACGTCGATTTTGAGGATTTGACTACTCAGTACTACAAATTTAATTTTAGCGTCCATTGATGAGTGAGATACTAACAAACTAGCCTCTCCAGTACTTCAACAGTGAAACTAAATCTTAACTGCATATATCGAAAGACTACAGACATCCACTGAACCGAATTAAGAAAATTGAAAACTTGAATAGTGTTGTGCTGAGATTAAAGTGTTGTCACAGTATTGCTAAATAATTCATACTAAATAAACAAGATCTTACTCGCTTTTCCGATGAAAAGACATTCTCTAGGCTAGTTGATGAGTCAATGTAGGGCTTTGCATAGAAGTGCATCAATCCAAGTTGCTACACTTCCGAAAAGCATATAAACATAGAGGGGGGGGGAAATGTAATGAGACTAAAATGGACGACTGAGACAAGCATGGTGTTACGTAAACTTGATTATCTGATCCAAAGTATTTAACACGCCGTTCTTTCCACCTTCGTCAACTAACTTCTACGCCTAACCTCACTATTACTTATCATGTTGCTCCACTTAAAATGATCAATGGAACCAATACATCTATAGTCAAAAACTCTCAATCTGCTTTAGTCTTAAAAGGTCATCCAGCAATTTCTCTTGTATATTTGTTGTCAATTTCCAGAAATAAACATTACTCAGCACGTTTTCACCTCAATCCTGAGTTTTCACAAACTTCCTACACCATTTCCTGTGTTGTATAGCATCATTTTACTCCACTTCCAGATATTTTAATTGACCTGAAAATTTGGCCTCTAGAATATTTTATCCTTTAACCTATATATTCACAGATATGAAGATGAGAGTAAGTTCATCTAAGAGATATCTTCGATAAAGCTACCTTTTAGCTTAACATATGATACGGCACTCTATGAACTAGATAGCCTTCTCACTTATGATACAGAAAGTATTTTAATAACTCAGTTAACTGGAACAGATTCCTCATGAGCCAAGATATGAGCCATACTTTTATGAGGACTGACAATACTAACCAGATGCTCAGACTGAAGTAGACAGAGCAGTATTCTAGCCTGAGGTAGATAAGATAAAAGTTGAAAGCTGAAGTCAATGAAATACATCATTACTTAAAGGGCTTATTTGTGAGACACAAATCTCTTCTAAGCCTCTAGATATAGGTGAAGAAAACCAAACCCCCTTGTTTACACTTTGTTGGAGTAATGGGCCAATGTTAACCCATATAAAGTACATCGCAAGATGGTTCCGAGCGAATGTATGATGATATTGTATATCCCATAAATTTTCCCATCTAATTTTATTTCGTTGACCTTCTATTTGACTTTTACCTTACTGACCTCGTCTGACGTATGGTGTGTTTATGCACAGAAGATACTACGCCAATTATTTCTGTAATATTTATTTCAGCTACTTCCAAACGAAAGATCCCAAAAAACAACCTAAATATTTAAGCATATGCAGTAGACTCAACTTTTAAATAGGACAAGTACAAAGTAACAAAACTATTCAGTCTGACCTAAATTTTCATTCACCGGCTTACAATGAACAACAGTAACTCGTATGACATACTGTATGAGGTGTTAACTTAGCTACTCCCCGGTGACATTGATGATGGTATAAGTTGAGGGAACATAAACCACTACATCCTAACTTAGTCGATGAATGGTAACGTGATGACCTTGCGACTGATAGTCATAGGTCCCATACTACTCTACAAATAGACTTTCCCTTTGAAGCCTACGAAATTGTTTTCATCTATGGAATATAAACGTCCTGAAATTAATCAATTCGTCACGAGCTAACCATTTGGATAGTTATCTGTATGGAGAGAGGGAAGATACAAACATGTGTCCAGATGAGATTATCACTTAAACTGAGGTGTCACTCAGGTAAATTAGATGGTTAATAATATAGTGTATATGAAATATTCACCTTACAGTGGTGACTGAAGGTTCAGTGCTAAATTTTACTTAACCAAACTGATATCTTCAATCTAGTGAATAATATGTATATGAATATAGGCAGCAGTTTGTGATTCCATTAAGATTCTTATAAGTCTCTTTTCATCAAGTACTCCGTGCCCCAGGAAAGATTCCTCGCGTGAACTCCTTCGATAATTCATTTTATAAGAACAAAGACTTCATATTCCCATGATAAATACCACAGTACCTGAGCCGCCTTTGATAAGTCAAATTTCGATACAGTATTAGGCTTTGGGCGCTTTGGGACTATGGTCACTTTCAGAGTAGAATGCTTTGTAAAGCGATATCAAGCAGTGAAAGATTAAAACTACGAAGCACTGAATAAGTATGTTTCATCTTAGTTTGGAATTCTGCATCACTGTGATGATCCCACAACCATCAGGAAATCAAGCTTCAGCTTAAAATAAAAGTACGTGAACTAGCAGACAACAGAGTTTTTGGACCTGTAAGTTTCCGATTATCGCAACAACCTAAACACTGGAGGACTGAATCATTTTTTAGTAGTACAGTTCAACAATAACGTCTGCATTAATTGTAATACTCGAATTTAAATGTGCAAACATTTTATTTTTTTATTTTTGATTACAGCTTGATTTCACACTGTATTTTTGGTACAAGTATGGAATTTTCAGCATGGATATCGGTAGCCCAAATTTTGCAGGCCGACCATAGATATCAGGTGTACGTCGGCAGCGGATCGAACCTCAGACCATATGCATGGTCAGCGAGAGTCCTAACCACTGTGCCACCGACGCACATATGCATGAAAATAAACAGTCAGTATCTTCCTTTCGTCACTTTAAAAGAAAAACTTGTTCATTTTATCAATGGACACAAAAACTTACTATCAAAGGATTCCAACCAATCAACTGAATACGTATTATAGGACTGAATAACTGAGGCAAGCACAATGATACATAAGCTTGTTTATATGATTCAGGTGACATAACACGCCACTCTTTAAATCTTTCAAGAATTAATGGCAGCTCACAAAATTCCTCGACAACATCCTCGAATAAGGCATTGGCATCGACTAATAAAGCATCTGGTATAAAGAAATCGATTCAGAGTATATATGTAAGTGGGACATATGGTATAATAAAGTTTGTGAATTATATGATTGTTGGTTTGCGCAAAGATACGCATGAATCCGTTATCAAACAGCGATAGTCTAAGCACTTAGCATCGTGAAACTAAAACGATTCAACTGGAAAATCATAACAAAACTAAGGGGCTCTATGATTAGGATGCATCTGATAACTCCATCCCAACTTCAGGTTCATGTTTGTTAACAGGATGTGACCAGTTTTAATAAATAAGAGGTTTTCGTTATTCGTAATTTTAAAATATTTCCCTAAGTGTGGTATTCAAAATATGTGATAAACATTCATTGGTAGATTTTAACCACAATGATCTTGTTTTACAGTTTTTTTTGTTTTTGTTTCTTACTTTTGTCTACATCTTAAAAACGTTGTTACCCTCCCTTCTAGTTTCATCTCATATGGACTATTATCCTTTTCCCCTAACTTCCCAATAATCTTCTTACTATGCACTCCATTGTTCTTTAGCTTGACTTGAACCGACTTACTTCTGAGCAAAATACTGTAGCGTTATTACGGTTTACATTTACATTAGATATTGTGACAAACAATAATGGAGAGTTAAAAAAAAGGCTAAATGCTAGTTGTCTAAGTTCTATACAATACTAGAATTATTATTTTATATGATACACTAACCAATATCAGCTTCACGTTTAGCAATCACAGCTTGTGATTCTTCCTCATCCGTACTGGTCCCATCTATATGAACCTGTAAAACACCAGGATTTTGAAGTTCACGACCACGCTGACGTCGCATTCTATTGAAATGAGATGAATACAGTGAAAGTGGAATTAGAAACTGCTTCATGTAATTAGAAAATTTTCTCATGAAAGACAAAATCCGTTTAAGATGTATAGTATCCACATATTCATTACACATTAAATATTTTTTACCGTCGAGATTCGCGTTCAGCACATCTTCTGCGTCTAGCTTCCAAATTCTTTACTTCCTCTGGTGTTTTTGAATTATTTGGACTAGACGTATTAGCTGGAAAATAAATAGTAAATCAAACACACTATTTAACATTTTTTTAAAAATTCTATGATACACAAAATATTTGTTATATGTGAGTGTAAATCGCAGGACATAAATACGTTTATCTACATTGAACTTTGTAGAAAAATACACCTAGAAAATCTTTTTAATTGATTCCCAAAAACCAATTTACTTTGAAAGATAACTACTGTCTGGGACTGGTAGAAAAGTCGCACAGTTAAATGAATTTGTCAACTAAAAGATTATAAAGTTGGTCCATGAAACGATGAAAATTAACGTATTGATGTACTAAGCTATAAACTATAATTAAAAATGTACACTATTCGTGTTACTGAGGCTTAATAGAACTATTAAATGGCCAATGCAAAGGTCAAACATACACACTTAGATAAACTGGGAAGGTTTATCGATGGTTATAAGCCCATACTCATTAAGATAGCACGCCTCCTCACCGTCTACAAGAGACCTGTGCAGGAGGACATAGGTTGCTTACCTGGAATTTAAGTACCCTCAGAAATGTGTGGTATAAAAGGCTCTCTATGGGGTATGGCTAACAATCCATTCTAGTGGATTCACAATTCATGAACAATCCCCATACAGACATTAGTGAGAACAAAACACGTAGTTCAGCAAAGAGTCTCTTTTCGGCTAATTCATTCACTCAGCTGTACAATCGCAATTTTATATAATTATTTTCTTATGTGTATGTACAGCAGGTTTATCAGGCAAAGTAATCTTCACAGTAAAGAATGACTTAGCAGAGACGATATGTTTTCATCTCCGTTGTATTGTCTGAAGCCTTAGCCATACATTTAGAAAAACTGGAGCTATGTATAGAAAAGAAAATCATTGAACCACTTCTACTATCACGGAAACAACCACGTTGATTTCCACTGTCTTTGTGTGTTTGTCTTTCCTACTCCTTATAACTTTTGTATTTCTTTAGAATTCCTATAATTTTATATTTTCCTTCGTTTCTATGTGAATCCTGATCACAACCGAGTCATTCAATTATTCCTCTTATAACTTAACTATAATACGCTTGTTTAATTTCTTTTATGCATTAACTGACTAACACTAACAACTATGCTTGTAACAAATCATCACTAATACCCTTTTACTAATCCTCACCCCATCCTAATTACAATTTGATTACTCATCAAATTTTTTGAAATATTTTGGTAACGTAAACAATAATCCTAACCAATTTTTATTCTTATCTGACGATTCACAACTCATCACCATTTTAACCTTAATAATACATATTTACTTGATGCAACTGTCCTTGGTATTTGGTAAAATTACTTCGACTACCTTGTTTCCGTCGTTTATTACACTAAGCGGTATTGTTAGATTCTATTTCGGCGATATCAGTCATAAGCTGATAGCCCAACAGTACAGAGGTTTTTCAAGCATCAGTGATGGCCTATTAGTTCTCAACCAGTGACTCGGTGACTACTTACAGAATATTTCCCAACTCTTAGGCAACTACCACCAACTAACTTCGTAGGTGGGAATTCCAGTCTTGATTGATAACATATTCTACGAGTACTCATCAAAAATGTAGATATTCACTTGAGATTTATAATACCCGTTCTGTATCCTTTGACTTAGGAAATTTAGTACCATAAATCTGCACACATAAAGCACGGCTTACAGAGTAGAAAACATAAGTAATTTTTTATGGCTAAATTGATGGAAAAATTACCGTTGTGTGATAATTTCGTGTAAGAGTGATTAGTTTATAATCACAGATGATACTACTTCTCATAATTCTGTAAAACAAGTAAACTTTATTGCATCCCTTTTTTAATTTTAAATGAACGTAAAGAAAAATGCATCATCTAGTCAGCGATGCAGGCGACTGAAGGAGTTTAAAAACGGAGTAAAGTAGTTTCTGGTAATCGTACAATTAATTCTGGATGCAAACTACCTTCCTCTTGATTGTATTTCTCATAAAACTAACCTATAACAGACACACATACATGATTTCAAGAATGTCAGTTTCCATTTGAAACTGAACTGACTAATGCTAATCAACACAAGATTGACATAAATTCAATTGTTAACTAGATAAATTTCATTTTCAACTACTTTTCACAAAGGATTCAAATAGTAAACGAAGAAGATAATGAATTTCACAAAATTAAGTGAACTCACGTTGAGATACTGAGATAGCCAAATCTTTCATATCCATACGACGACGTTCAACAAGTTTATCATAACGTTCTCGAAATAGTATAATACACCGTTTTTCCATGTATTCTATTTTCGGCATCTGTTATTGACAGTATAAAAAAGGCATAAATTGCAGTTTAATAAATCTGTATTAGTTACAAATCAATACTGATTAGGGAACTACTGAAAACTATAAGACCCTCGAAAGTTACTACATCCTAGTTCAGATATAATCTACAATGAAAACTGATGATATAAAAAGGATGAGTGCATAACACACATGTCAGTATTCATTGACCCAAGAAGAATCGAATGACCACTGATTTCCAACTATTTTCAGTTTGTGATATAGTCCAATCATTATATAGTGACATCTTTCCATATTTAACTTAGTGCAGCTTACTAGTCAGAACATGTTACTTGAATAACAGAATCATGAAAAAAGCCGAGTATACTTGTCAAGAGGATTTGACGAGAGTTCATCACTTCCCGTTACTTTCAGAAAGAGAAGGAAAAATGGAATTCCAACATGTTTACCAATGATTACAATCCCTAACTATATATGATAGTGTCTCGAGCCACTGCTTTGAAATGTCTCCTGGAAACCACCGAGGGAGTTGTGGCGCATCTACATATGTTCACCTGACGCAACTATATTTCATCCCCCAGCGCCATGACACTGACTAGTCCTCCTCTTTTTCCGTCTAGTCGCAGGGCTCAAAACGTCAGTCGATCTGAATCATGATATAGTCTGTCTTATTCGGTGATAACATACAGACAATAAAAGTCTGTGGAATTGATTAATTGACAGAAAACACTATGTTGAGATCCAGAGTTAAAAACTATGATTTGTGTGTACAATTTTTACATGTAAAAATATGATATAATTCCTTGATACATAACATAAATATTCTGAGCAGTAATTTTACTCTTCAGCAAATTGATCTGGTACCTACTAAATAAACTGTTCATACATATAATTGATGCTTTAAGAGGAGGAAGTGTGCATACCTACCATTTTTTGACAGTTAAGTGGTTTACTGTACTGAATATTTTAATTACTATTGTAATTCCTAAGTGATGAGCACCGAAGAAATTCAAGTACAAATTAAAAAAATATTATTGTCATTAACCCGCCTGTGCCATTTGTGAAATTTATACATCTATTATTCAGTCAAAAGATGTAGGCAAACAGTACTTGTTTTATGTTTTCCCGTTTACCATGATGTAATCCAGTCATTTAAAGCAAATAATGCATTGAGATAATAGTATTCCACGGTAGAAAGAACGTATTAAGTAAGTGCGATGGCACGATTAATAAACTGACTGACTGGTTTCAACATTGAAAACAGACATGCAGCAGGTCGAGTCGCCACACTCTAAGTAGCACACAAAGCAAGAGAAGAAAGTAAAAAGAAATGCATAATAGAGACAGTAAACAGAGATATGAGGCAAAAAGAATAGTAATATCGAAGAACAATATAGTTTTATTGGAAATTATAAGTCACAAGGAGTGGATGCATCTGCGCCACTGAGAACGATTTTGAGCCATGTCACCAATTGTTTCCGACCATAGATGTTTACCGTCCTAAGGGCTCCAACCAGGAAGTCTACACCCTCCTACATGGCTTAAACTAACTTTTGTGGATTTCATTGATTGATGCCGTGTTTTCGTTAGACCACCACTGGCTCATTTCCAACTTGACCCTGTGTCAGCTAACATTGGCCCTCGAGGAAGGCGATGGCTGGGCATACATAACATAACAGCCACGTCGATTGATTTTTCCACACCTGGCTTCAATATTGCTCACCCTATTATACCACTAAACATGGGAAATAGAGCGCAGGCACCTATGATCAAAGACAGCTAGTCTTTTCATATCTTCCACTCTCAATGGCCAGGTCTCACAGCCATAAAAGGAGGACGGGGCAGACTGATGAGCAGTACACCCGCCCTTTGGTCGATAGTCGGATATCTCGTCTATGCCAGAGACGGCTTAAACTGGCATATGCGAAACTAGCCCTCTGTATCCGTGCTGAGATCTCGTCAGCGATCAACCCTTTGGGCTGGTTGATGCAACTTTCCAAATACGTGAAGTGGTCAACACACTCCACCACTTCGCTCCCTACTTCTAAGCTCGGAGTCCATGTAGTTCAGTCCTGTAGCATTATCTTACATTTGACAGCAGGAGCGAATCGCATGCCAATCGAAGATTGCTGCTACTCACGGTGTTCAGAAGACTATGCATTTTGTCAGTGTCCTCACCTAGGTGGGAGGACTGTATCATCTACATATCCTAAGCCAACAAGATTATTCCCTGGGTCGCTGAAGTTGGCAGTTAGGGTTAATTCCATTAGTACGTCTATGATGAAATTGAACAGAAATGGGGATAGTGGGCATCCCTGTCGGGCACCACTAGTTGTCACCAGTTCAGATGGCAACTCGCCGTAAGCTCCCACCTGGCTGCATGAGTACGAGTAGAGTACCTTGATTAGTGTAATGTATTTTCTTGCCATTCTCTTTACAGCCAAACAACGCCAGAGTACCTCTCGGTCGATAGAATCGAATGCTAACTTTAGGTCAAGAAGATGACGATTGTTGGACGCCGGTAAGTATGCCTATGTTCTAGAATCTGTCGAAGGGTGAAGATATGATCAATACATCCTCCTCATGGTCTGAAGCCTGCCTGGTTCTCTCGTGTTTGTACGATTAACAAAACATCACCATCTCCAATATAAGAATGAAGCGTTTATAAGTTTCTGCCTCTTTATTGGAAAGAATTGATAGTAAAGATGATCGCAATTTTCGGGTAAATAATAATAATGCTAATAATAATAAAGCTTATATAACCATAAGCAATGAAATCCCGCGGAAAGAATCCACGATCTGAAAATAATGGATGCCATATGAACTTATTTGGATCACTAGCAACTATGAAGACAGTCTTGCAGATCGGGGTTTAAGTTAAAGACTAAGAGAGCTCAAAAAGTACATTCCACGTGGCTTGTCTGCCGATTATGTAACATTCACATTCAAACAAACTGGTTTGGGTGTCTCACTACACTGTACTGCTTCATTCAATCTCCACTAGAAGTCTTTTATGTGCTGTTAGACCAGAGGATTGTATTAGAGTAAAAAGCAACTTGACCAAAATGTTGTTTTTTTTTATCATTACGGTGGATCAAGTTGATGTATGCCACCTTAGCCTTCATTATACGGTTGGAAATCTCATCCGTCACCCCTCCCCGCCAGCACTCGCATAATTACCAAGATACACGAACTTATCGAAAAGTTCAAGCGGTTCACCTGCAAGAGTGAGTGCAGGTACAGGCTCCTGCCGATCTTGTGAAAGTACTTTTCACTTAGACGGCCCAAATCACATACCATACAGACACTGATCACCAACTGATTAAGTGCGATTTGGGCAGCCTGCATGGTATTGCACGGTAAGACGATATCGTCTGCATACTCGAGGTCGAAAAGTCTCCTTCCAGGGAGCAGATCTACACCACCTTCACATACATCCTTCAGAGCTGACTCCAGGTTGTTATCGATGGCAGAGTTAAGGAGAAGTCGGGAGATCGGGCAACCCCGTCTAACCTCACTGTTGGTTGGGAACAGTGATGATAGTTGGTTGTATGCCCTCACTCTATCTGAGGTGTTTCTGTATAGGGCTTTCAAGATGTTAACAGACTTCTCAGGTACACTCCTCTCTAAGACAGCTCCACAGCACAGTTCTGTCCAACGAATCAAAGGCAGCCCCAATATCAAGAAACACAACGATTGTTGGCCTGCAATACGTGTGGCGGTGTTCCAACAACTGACGAAGAGGGAACACATGATCAATGCACCCACGACCTGAACGAAAACCTGCTCTTCGCGAATCAATCCTTCGCGTGTTTTGCACACCCTGCGAAGCAAGACAGCAGCCAGTATTTTAGACGCAACTGGTAGCAGACTGATGCCTCTATGATTGTCACATGAATTACGTCAACCCTTTCTAAAGATGGGGACGATAATGGCTTCAATCCCATACATTCCTGAATAAACCAGTTATAACCATTGCGAGAGACTCGCCACCATCTTTAAAAAAAGAAAGGAATAGATTGTCTGGGCCGGGTGCCTTATGGCGTCTTAGTGCTTGGAGTTGCCTAAGGACCCCCACCTCGATTGGTGGGTCGGTACTGACCGACCAAGGAGCATTGGAGCTGGTGAAGGTGGATACTGAAGCTGGAGGCCAGCTAAACTTTTTCTCGAAGTACTCTCCCCAGCGTTCCAGGAGTGTTTTCAGGCTAGCTCACAGGCCGTCTCGCTAGCATCTCGTTTCTTGCTACCAGTGGTTCGGATGACCTGGGACAGCTTTCTGACTGTTGCCAGATGCAACAGCTGACTCGATCTCACACGCACATTTTGACCACCAGGCTTCAGGATCCTTACGTAAATACTGTCTAATCTTGGACGTTAGCGCCTTTCGCATATTGTTGTATTCGCTGCCAGCCGGAATGGATCGGCATTCATCCAGGAGTTGGAAGGAACTCGCAGAAAGCCAGTGGTTTTTAGCGGAGCGTTCTTTTAAGCCGCAAGTGGCTGCACTCACCATTTTCATGGCACATTGCAGATGAAGCCAATGTTCATCTATAATTTTTAGGGTTGCTGTCTGTCTGTCTGTTTTCGACATAGAACTATACACAAATGTGCGGAAGTTCAAGTCGCCCCATTCCGTGTAGCACGCGAAGCAAGAGAAGAAAGTACAAGAAAAGCATAATAGAAACAGTGAGCAGAGGTGTGAGACAAAGGAGTAATAAAGAAAAACAAAACAGTTTCATTGAAGATCAAAAGTCACAGGGAGTGGATGCATCTGCGCCACTGAGAACGATTTTGAGCCATGTCACCAATTGTTTCCGACCATAGATTTTTACCGTCCCGAGGACCCCAGCCTGGAAGTCTACACCTTTCTACGTGGCTTAGACCAACTGTTGTGGATTTCATTGACTGGTGCCAAGTTTTTGTCTGACCGCCGCTAGCTTTTTTCCAGCCTGACCCTATATCCGCTAACATAGCTCGTCGATGGCTTGGCATACGTAACACATGTCCTAACC